AAAAGAAAAAGTGGGATTGAGATATTAATCATTCTGTATTGTTTGCCTGAACTGACGACATGTAAACAGAGGGCTGTAGGGGCCTCAAATTTGGCCACATGTTGTCTATGAACGGAAAGCCAAACTGTAAAGAGAAAGATATAAGAATAAAGCGGATACACTGAGAGAAACAGAAATGACAGATCACAGAAAGAGAAAATGGGGCTGGGGAGGGAGGAAAAGAAAGTGAGAATAGGAAAGACCAAAAAAAGCAGCCAGGGACACAGATATACAAATAACTGATTCCTGGAAATCCTAATGGCTTTCTAGTCCCCAGTTCTAGTCCCTTATAAAGTCCAAATATAATTGTTACTTTTGAATTCTCTGATAACCCAGTGTTCTTCCAACAAATTCCCATTTATGTTTAAACTAGTTTGAAGTTGCTCCCTATTATTTATATCCAAAGTATGCTTACAACATTTACTCATTATTTTAATTTATAATATATATTATATACACATTACTTACAAATGTATCTTATATATTAGAGATGTAAAATATAGACTTCTATGTATATGTGTTAAGTAGATTATACAAGAAAATATTTAAGCATATAAATCTCTATATATGTACATATATATACACATATACAGGTATGTATGTATACATGGATGAGATGTTACACAGGCAGCATAGTCAAGGCTTCAACTTATTTATTTCTCCAACCCCTATTCCCAAACCAGCTCCTACTGCTAATGGATAGATGGACCATTCTCCAAGTCATGCAAGTCAGAGAACTGAGAATCATTTTTGACCTCCTAGAGAGCCAGGCCCTCCCTTCGAGAGCTTTCTCTTTTTTTTTTTTGAAACAGTCTTGCTCTGTTGCCCAGGCTGGAATGCAGTAGCCAGATCTCGGCTCACTGAAACTTCCACCTCCCAGGTTCAATCGATTCTCCTGCTTCAGCTCCCCCCACCACCACCCCGGTAGCACGCCACCACACCCAGCTAATTTTTTTATTTTTAGTAGAGACGGCGTTTTGCCATGTTGGCCAGGCTGGTCTCAGACTCCTGACCTCAAGTGATCTGCCCTCCTCAGCCTCCCAAAGTGCTGGGATTACAAGATTACAAGTGTGAGCTACCAAGCCTGGACTGTCCATCATCTTTTTTTTTTTGAGACAGAGTTTTGCTCTTGTTGCCCAAGCTAGAGTGCAATGGCGTGATCTCAGCTAACTGCAACCTCTGCCTACCGGGTTCAAGGGATTCTCCTGCCTCAGCATCCCGAGTAGCTGGGATCACAGGCATGCGCCACCACGCCCAGCTAATTTTTTATTTTTTAGTAGAGATGGGGTTTCACCATGTTGCCCAGCCTGGTCTCGATCTCTTGACCTCAGGTGATCAGTCCACCTCAGCCTCCCAAAGTGCTGGGATTACAGGTGTGAGCCACTGTGTCAGGCTTTTTTTTTGAGACACGGTCTTGCTCTGTTGGCCAGGCTGGAGTGCAGTTGCATAATCTTGGCTCACTGCAACCTCCATCTCCTGGGCTCAAGCAATTCTCCTGCCTCAGCCTCCTGAGTAGTTGGGATTACTGGCGTGTGTCACCACACCTGGCTAATTTTTGTATTTTTATTAGAAATGGGGTTTCACCATGTTGACCCAGCTGGTTTCGAACTCCTGACCTCAGGTAATACTCCCGCCTCAGCCTCCCAAAGTGCTGGGATTAGAGACGTAAGCCACCGCACCTGACCATCCATCATCTTTTTATCAACTTTGTTGGCAGTTTAGGAGTTCAGAATAGGATGACAGGGAAAAGGTATTAATATTTGGCATTTTTGTTAAGTACTTACAATGTGCCAGCCATGTTTATAAGAATAAATTAATGAATTTGATTAATTCAACCAATATATATTGAATAGCAATTTTTATGGTAACCATTATAAGAGATATAGGAACAATGGCCAGGTGAAGTGGCTCACACCTGTAATCCTAGCACTTTGGAAAGCCAAGGCGAGTGGATCACTTGAGCCCAGGAGTTTGAGACCAGCCTGGCTAACATGGTGAAACCCCATCTCTACTAAAAATACAAAAAATTTAGCCAGGCATGGTGGTGGGTGCCTGTAATCCCAGCTACTCGGGAGGTTGAGGCAGGAGAATTGCTTGAACCCGTAAGGTGGAAGTTGCAGTGAGCTGAGATTGCACTCCAGCTTGGGCAACAAGAGCAGAAACTCCATCTAGGAACAACAATAAAGAGAATCCTGGCCTTCAAGGAGTTTACAATCTAAAAGGAAGTAAACAAATACACAAAACACTTTGAGAATTCAGAGAAGGGTGTTAAAAAAAAAAAAAGAAAAAGAAAAAGCCAGGTATGGTGGCTCATGCCTGTAATCCCTGCACTTTGGAAGGCCAAGGCGGGCAGATCACAAGGTCAGGAGATTGAGAACATCCTGGCCAACGTGTTGAAACCTCGTCTCTATTAAAAATACAAAAGTTAGCCAGCCACGGTGGCACGAACCTGTAGTCCCAGCTACTCTGGAGGCTGAGGCAGGATAATCGCTTGAACCCAGTAGGCGGGGGTTGCAGTGAGGCGAGCGCCACTGCACTCCAGCCTGGGCGACAAGAACAAAACTCTGTCTCAAAAAAAAAAAGAAAAAAGAATTCAGAGAGGGAACAGATCACTTAGCAGATAAAGGAAAATTTAAAAACACTAAAAGAAAAACACCAGCATACTCAGTTTGCCATAATCTCTCCTTCTAAATTTTCATTTGTCTGTTAAACTTTTCAACAAATTAAGTTAGATGGCCGTAAACCTGCAACTCTCCTTCCTAGACTTAAGTTCTAATGGCTCAGTATTGTAAAAACTGTAGCACAGGCTTATATCATATAAGAAAACATGGTCCTAGTGTTTATAACCTTTGGTATGATTGCTTCTCAGCTAAATCATAAAAAGAGAAGTTAAAACAGAAATGTACTAGTTTACAGAAAAACAAGAACAGATGATAAGGCAACTGAGACACAAAGTGTAGGCCATTCTTTTGCGAAGTCTGGCTTCCTAAAAGCAGGAACTAGACTAAACACTATCAACAATCATAATCCTACATATTTCTGGTTCTCCTTCTAGTTCTTTGACTGCTCTTTTTCATATCGTTCTTCTTCATAAAGATTGTCTGGGTCCTTTGCCTTTCCATATACATTTTAGAATAAGCTTGTTACTTTTTTTTTTTTTGCAAAATCCCTCCTGGGATTTTGATATGGATTGTATTGACTGTATAGATCAATTTGAAGAGAACTGTCATCTAAATAATATTGGGGCCAGGCACCATGGCTCATGCCTGTAGGCGCAGCACTTTGGGAGGTTGAGGCAGGCGGACTGCTTGAGCCCAGGAGTTTGTGACCAGCCTGGACAAGATAGCAAAACGCTGTCTCTACCAAAAACACAAAAATTAGCTGGGCATGGTGACGCGCACCTGTAATTCCAGCTACTCGGGAGCCTGAGGCACAAGAATTGCCTGAACCCAAGAGGTGGAAGTTGCAGTGAGCTGCAACTGCGCGACTGCACTGCAGTCTGGGCAAGGGTGAGACTCGGTCTCAAATAAATAAATAAATATATAAATTTAAAAATTGGGTCTTCCAATCCATCAAGTGTCTCTCCATTTAGTTTTTAATTTCTCTTAGCAATATTTTATAGTTTTTAGTGTACACATCTTATATTTCTTTTGTAAAATTTATTTCTAAGTAGTTTTTTTTTGTTGCTACTATGATTGGTATTGTTTTCCAAATTCCATTTTCAGATTGTTCATTGCTAGGACGTAGACATACAATTAATTTTAGCATATTAATCTTATATTCTACAACCCTGTTGAATTCATTTATTAGTTCTAAGAGTATTTTCATGGATTTCTCAGGATTTCCTACATAGAAGATCATGCCATCTGTGAATAAAGAGAGTTTTACTTCTTCCTTGTCAATATGAATGCTCTTATTTATTTTCTTGCCTGGTAACACCAGCTAGAACCTCTAGTACAATATTGAATAGAAGTGGTGACAACAGATATCCTTGCCTTATTCCTGATTGTAAGGGGAAAGCATTCAGTCTTTCACCATTAAGTATGTTAACTGTGGGTTTTTCAGAGATTTTTTTTTTTAATCAGGTTGAGAAAGTCCCCTTCAATTTGTAGTTTGTTGAGAGTTTTTCTTTTTATCTTGAATGAGAGCCAGATTTTGTCAAATGCCTTTTTCCTGGATCTATTGTGCTTTATTCTATTAACACGGTACAATACATTTTCAGATATTAAGTCAAACTTGAACTAGTGAGATAAATCCCATTTGGTTATGGTATATAAGCCTTTCTATATGTTGCTGGATTCAGTTTGCTAATATTTTGTTGAAGATGTTTGTGTCTATATTCATAAGGGCTGTTGTTTTATAGTTTTTTTTTGTATCGTAAAGTTGGTGAAGGATTGGCATTATTTCTTTTCTCAAGGTTTGTAAGACGACAGTTCTTTTTAGTATCTTTAATCTTGGTGTCCTTTGTTGCATCTAGCACACGTTTTTGCTCAACAAATTAAATTATACAACAATGTCCCAGAAGTGGCTAAAATAGTATTTAAACAGTGTCTTGAATTTCAACCAAAGGCACTTTCAAAATGGAGAACACTATGATAAACAATCTAAACTTAAAACTATTTTTAAGTTTAGGAAAACTAAAATATTTACTTACGAGGTAATAGCTCTCTATCAGCCGTCTCTGTGCAGCTAGGATAAGGGTGAAATAGATGTCCTTTCTCTAATGGGTATGGAATCATTCTAAAAGCTGAGAAAAAAAACCATGTGTTGATACTCAATTCTGTCTTATTTGCCATCTTATACTACAGATCAAAGCTATTTTGGAGACAAATTTATATAAAAATTTCACATACTATTTTATTTGTTTTTACTGAGACGTCTTAGATACAAGAAACAAAGTAAGCAAAATAATGAATAAAGGGAAGGATAAGATTTAGATAGTAGTGAATAGCCTAGTCTGGCTAGAGTAAAACTACAGGGAATAGTAGAAGAAACCGGCTGGGTCTTTCTTTTCTTCAGTCTCCTCATTACAAACACAACTGATAATTCCAAAGCAGAATTACAGAAATCTTCATATGACTGCAATGTGTATAACTGTTTGGTCATTACTACTGGCAACCTAAAATAGTTTTCAATGGCTCCTAACTTCACATGTGAGTTTCACCAAAGCTTTTTTTTTTTTTTGAGATGGAGTTTTGCTCTTGTTGCCCAAGCTGGAGTGCAGTGGTGTGATCTTGGCTCACTGCAACCTCTGCCTCCCAGGTTCAAGTGTTTCTCTTTCCTTAGCCACCCAAGTAGCTGGGATTACAGGTGCGTGCCACCATGCCTGGCTAATTTTTTGTATTTTTAGTAGAAACAGGGTTTCACCATGTTAGCCAAGCTACTCTTGAACTCCTGACCTCAGGTGATCTGCCCACCTTGGCCTCCCAAAGTACTAGGATTATAGGCATGAGCCACCATGCCCAGCCTCACCAAAGCTTTCTATGAGCAGATCTCAATCTAGATCCGGGTCACCAAAGTATGGCCCTTTGGCCAGGTCTGGCCTACCATCTGTTTTTGTAAATAAAATTTTATTGGAACACAGTTATGCCATTCATTTACATATTGCCTAAGGCTGCTTTCATGTTACAATAATTGAATAGCTGTGTAAAAGACTGTATGCCTGGCATCCCTCTCAAAAAAAAAAGACTGCCCTACAAAGTCTAAAATATTAACTATTTAGCACTTTATGGAAAAAGTTTGCCCACCCCCTGATCTAGATTATCACCAACTCTTGTAGATTTGTTAAAGAAGAAATCCTTATTGATCTATTCCATTAGCTAAGTACATAAATCCTTAACGTTTTACATAGTTTCTTGGAAACTGTAACTTTAAGCGAAATGTCATATGATAAAACCAATTTTACCATAGGCTAACTGATATAAACAAGAGTTAATTTCCTTGGTCACAAAACATCACCAAACTTCTAAATAAAGATCCAAAACACTTCTTAAACATTGAAATAAATGTGAGCTATACATACATTTAAGAAAGATTCATAAAAACAGGATCGTTATTTACCCAATTATTTTAGTTCAGGGTCAAGCATGCCCAGAGCCTATCCTGGCAGCCCAGAGTGCAAGGGAGGAACCCACTGGAATGGACAGGATACCATTCCAGTATACCACTCACACACACCCCCACACTCACGTATACTGAGATAATGTAGACACACCAGTTCACCTAATGTGCACACCTGTGAGATGTAAGAGGAAACCCACACAGACATGGGAATACCTTGCAAACTTTATATAGACAGCGGCCCTGGCTGGGAATCTGGGGTTTTTTTTTGTTTGTTTTTTCTTATCAACATTATAATGAAATAATGTTGAATGAAACGATATTACTTGAGGGCCTGCTGTAGTCATCAAAATTGTGATAAGGTTTTTGTTTTTCCTTTTGTGTTTGGTTCTATAAACTTTTGTCATAATTTAGACTTTATTTTACCACAGTTATTTGTCCAAAGTCACAGAGCAATTTAGTGACAACACTAATAAATAATTGATCATGATTCATGAAATACAGTATAAATCATATGGTTGGGCACAATGGCTCATGCCTCTAATCCCTGCTGCTTTGGGAGGCCAAGGTGGAAGGACTGCTTGAGGCCAGGAGTTCAAAGACCAGCCTGAGCAACATAGCAAGATCCCATCTCTACATAAAAAGTAATAAAATAAAATAAAATCATGCACTTATTGAAAACCTATTTGCCAAGCAGAATGCCAGGCAGTGAAGACACATACAAAATGAATGAGACAGAATATCTGCTTTTGAGAAGCTTATGCACTACTGGAGAAAAAGCAAAAGTAAGTTGAATTACTCAAAGACGTTCAGTTTCTCAAGTATATAATCCCAATTTTATTAATATTTTCTTTAAAAACAAATACATATATATGTATATGTGTGTGTGTGTGTGTGTGTGTGTGTGTGTGTGTGTGTGTATAAGAGAGTCTTGTTTGTTGCCCAGGTTGGTCTCAAATTCCTGTTCTCAAGTGATACTCCCACTTCAGCCTCCCTAGTGGAACTACAGGCGTGAGTCACCACACTTGGCTCATCAGTTTTATTATTGTCATTGTCAAGCAGAGTGTCTGGCCTTTAGCAAATGGTTAACGCAGAGGTTCCCAAATTGGTTCAAGAATACATGACGACAATTTCACTTGTTAATAGTGAGTCCAAACAACTTAAAAAATTTATTTAGCAGCTCTTTGGAAAATTGTATACATAAATTGAAAGAAAAAGTCAATAAATCAATTTTCTTTTTTTTTTTTTTTTTTGAGACGGAGTTTCGCTCTTGTTACCCAGGCTGGAGTGCAATGGTGCGATCTCGGCTCACCGCAACCTCCGCCTCCTGGGTTCAGGCAATTATCCTGCCCCAGCCTCCTGAGTTGCTGGGATTACAGGCACGCACCACCATGCCCAGCTAATTTTTTGTATTTTTAGTAGAGACGGGGTTTCACCATGTTGACCAGGATGGTCTCGATCTCTTGACCTCGTGATCCACCCGCCTCGGCCTCCCACAGTGCTGGGATTACAGGCTTGAGCCACCACGCCCGGCCTAATAAATCAATTTTCTTATTTCATTTTTAAATGACCATAATTTCTTACTAATGAAATATAGGTATGAGCCCATTGGACACTGCACAACTTCTAAAACTTGGAATCACATTGGACACTACCATCCTCATTTCCTGTTTCACATTGATTTTTGTGTGGTACTTGTTTCAATCACAGCAACTAACAAAACTCCAGCTTTGCAAAAACATAATAATATTGAAAGGAATAGAGAGTGATCTAATGTTGAAATTGTGAACTGTCTGGAGCTAATAGTTTAAGTGATATATGACAGATATCAAATTATTATTATCATTATTTTTGAGACAAGTTCTTACTCTATCACCCAAGCTGGAGTATAGTAGTGCCATCTTGGCTCACTATAGCCTCAACCTTTTGGGAGGTCTCAGCTTCCCAAAGTGCTGAAATTTCAGGCATGAGCCACTGTACCTAGCTTGAATATTGTATTGTTGTGTTTCCACTGAAAGTTTTAAATGTTCTACAGCACTCTTGTGAATTGCTGCAATATCCAAGGTGCCTCAGAGTAAAGTTAGGGAATTGGGTGGGGGGCGGTTAATCAGTTTTAGTGAATAAGAACTGAATTTATTTTTGAATTTTTATTGATAGCTGTGGTGTACTTTTCAAAAGAATTATGTGAATCCAACTGGTAAAATGTTTTTATTAAGTTTCTTCACTTTCTTGGTGGTTACAAGAAGCAACAGTTAAGAGATCCAGTAATTACTTTAAAACAATCCAATGTAGTCTCCAAAGAAGATTTAGAAATGGCCAATAAACACATGAAAAGATGTTCAACATCACCAATCATCAGGGAAATGGAAAACACCACCACAATGAGATTCCACTTCACATCCATTAAGATAGCTATTATTTAAAAAAAGAAAAAACACAGAAAATAACAAGTGTTAGCAAGGATGTGAAGAAACTGGAACTTTTCTGCCTTGCTGGTGGGAATGTAAAATGGTGCAGCTGCTATGAAGAAAAATACTACTGAGCTTCCTTAAAAAATTAAACATAGAATTTTATGATCCAGCAGTTCCATTTCTGCATATATACCCAAAGAACTCAAAGCAGGAAATCAAACAGATATTTGTACACCAGTATTTGTGGCAGCATTATTCACAATAGCCAAAAGGTAAAAACAACTCAAGTTTAATAGATATCTGTTCATTAACTGATGAATAGATAAACAGAATGTGGTATATACATACCATGAATTATTCAGACTTAAAAATGAAATTCTGACACAATATGAATGAATCTCAAAGATATTACACTAAGTGAAAAAGGCCAGAAAAAAACAGAACAAAAATTATATAATTCCACTTACATAAGGTACCTAGTCAAACTCATAGAGACAAAGTAGAATGGTGGCTGCCAAGGGCTAGAGGGAGGTGAGACTGGGGAGTTATTATTTAGTGGGTATAGAATTTCAGTTGGGGATAATGAAAAAGTTCTGTACATGGATAATGGTGATGTTTGTACAACACTGTGAATGTACATAATGTCACTGAACTGTACACTTAAAATGGTTAAAACTGTAAATTTTACATTATATTTTACAATAAAATAAAAAATAGGTTGATATTAGTTATGAAAATAATAGCTCCATGTCATATACATCTGAAAACAAACAAAACAAAAAAAAGACCAATGTTTAGATGTTAGAATAGTTTAACCGCATTAAAAAGCTTGTAAGGCAAAGGGCCAAGTTTTCATTTTCTTTCCTTAAAAATACGTAACTTGAATGAACATATGGCAGAATACCATAACAGTTTCTCATTCTGCTTTTGTGGGATCAACATGTTAGGCATTTCTACCAATAAACCAAATATATCACCACTGATTTCCGTTCAAAATCAATCTGACGAACTAATCTTTATGGAAACCAGACAATCTCATTTAAAAAGACTGCCTGCGAATGCAATGAATAGTTAGAGAGATTAATGTTACTTCTGAAAAAGAATACTTACTGCCTTCCCATGTACACTGTAACAGATTAAGAGCACCTTCTATTCGCTTCCAGTGCTGAAGATGAGAGAAAGCATAAGCAATTGCTTCACTATCACCCCGTTTCAGAATGTGTTCTGGAGGTAAAATTAAACTTTTCATCTCTAATAAATACTGAAAGAGTAACATACGCACATATACACACAACAGAAAAAAGAAAAATTAAATTGTGTTAAATTCAAACACCCACAAAAATACAGATTCAAAATGCTATAAAGTCAAACTGATTTTTAAAAAACTAATTAAAATGGCATGAAGATTGTATTGATAACATGTGCACAAAATGCTTCTATATGCAAATTATAAAAACTAGAATATTTCTATAGGTAAAAATACGGTGGTAAGTGGATATGTGTGGCCTGGCTAAATACAAAATGGAAACTCATGCTGAGCAGATAATGTGAGAGCAAATATTTATTTTTCCAAAGAGGAATTAAATGTAAAAATTACATATATTTTTAAAATTTATTTATTTTTAATTTTTAATTAAGCCATCTCCTACTGAATGGAAGAAATAAATATAAAAATTATAAAATCTAGGCCAGACACGGTGGCTCACGCCTATAATCCCAGCACTTTGGGAGGCCAAGGTGGGCAGATCACGAGGTCAGGAGTTCAAGACCAGCCTGACCAACAGGATAAAACCTCGTCTCTACTAAAAACACAAAATTAGCCAGGCATGGTGGCGCACACTTGTAATCCCAGGAGGATGAGGCAGGAGAATTGCTAGAACCCAGGAGGTGAAGGTTGCAGTGAGCTGAGATTGTGCCACTGTACTCCAGTCTAGGAGACAGTGAGACTCCAACTAAAAAAAAAAAAAAAATTACAAAATCCAAATTTGGAACAATATTTGTGGCAACATTCAATTCTTTTTTCTCTTACATTTTATAGGTAAAAGAACTTAATTGTGGAAAAGTTCAACTAAATTCATATTTACTGACTGCAAAGCACTATGCTTGTTAGGGATACCAAAGAACACCCTGCCTCTTCTCTGGAGCTACATAATGCAATGGAAAAGACAGATTTCTTAAGTGAATAATTATAACAAGACTATGCTGAGTGCTTTATTAGAGGTATAAACAATGTACAATATATAGGAATACACATAGGGTATTAATAGTTTAAAGTTAGTTTTTATTTTTATTTATTTATTTTTTTTTTGAGACGGAGTTTTCGCTCTTGTTACCCAGGCTGGAGTGCAATGGCGCGATCTCGGCTCATCGCAACCTCCGCCTCCTGGGTTCAGGCAATTCTCCTGCCTCAGCCTCCTGAGTAGCTGGGATTACAGGCACGCGCCACCATGCCCAGCTAATTTTTTGTAGCTTTAGTAGAGACGGGGTTTCACCGTGTTGACCAGGATGGTCTCGATCTCTTGACCTAGTGATCCACCCGCCTCGGCCTCCCAAAGTGCTGGGATTACAGGCTTGAGCCACCGCGCCCGGCCTTAAAGTTAGTTTTTAAATAACAGCTTTATTGAGATGTAATTCACATGCCTTAGAATTCACCCATTTAAAGCATACAATTCAAGGATTTTTAGTACATTCAGAGATATGTGCAACTATCACCAAGGTCAATTTTAGAACACTTTTATCACTTCAAAAGAAAATCCTGTACCCTTTAGTTATAACTCACTTCTCTCCTATTCCCCCACCCCCCTTAAGCAACCACTAACCTATCTTATATCTCTATAGATTTGCCTATTCTGGATATTTCATACAAATGGAATCGTTTTGTGACTGGTTTCTTTCACTTAGCATAATGTTTTCATGGTTCACCCAGTTTGTAGCATGCACTGGTACTTGTGCCTCATTCCTTCTTATGGCTCAATAATATTGCGTTGTATGTATGGTATATATGTTCTGTTTATCCATTCATCAACTGACAGATATTTGGTTGTTTTCAGCTTTTGGCTATTATGAATAATGTTGTTATGAACACTCACGTATAAGTTTCAGAGTGAATATGTGTTTTCATTTCTCTTGGGTAAATACCATGCAGTAGAATTGCTGGGTCATATGATAACTCTATGTTTAGAAAGTATTATGATTTAGGGTCTAGAAATAAACCACTTGATGGGATTTGAGCTGATATTTAAAGATAGGTAGAATGTGGATGAACAGACTGGGGAGTGAGGAGAACAACAGGAGGACATAAACCACAGGGCCATCTTGAATAAAGGCATTCAACCAAGTGAGCATAGTGCAGGATGCATGTAATATTCCTGTTAAAGAAGTTATAGTTTATCAATTCTTCTTCAGATATGAACCTGAATTTTATCTTAAACTCCTAATGAAAATACTTGTACTAATATTATCATTTATAACAAAAGCATTCTAATCACAGTTACTATACCAACCAAATGTACTAATTATATGTAGAAAGATATGAAATTAACTATTTGTACATCATCTTTCCTATTAGTCAACTTAAAACAAAACCTTAAAAAACATATTTAGTTAGCTAAATACTATCTCCAAAGACTGAGACCAGAATGTACTTGCCCTTCTAGAACAGGTTTGAAATAACCTCTTTGGTTCCAAACAATTTAATATCAAATTATGTCATAAGATACAAACTATATTGACTTCTCTCATAAAATGTTAAAAAAAAATTCCAGAGATGTCTCAAAAGATACATTCTCACATTTCAAATTCTAGTTCCTCAGGTTGTTATACAAACTAATGGGATAACATAAATTAGAGAGCTGAATTTGTGAAACACTTTGTAAAACTGCTACAAGCAATAAGACTCTAGAAAGACTCTTAAAAACGAAAAGCTGTAGCAGTTTCAAAATTTAAGCCTTAAGTTATTTAATCAATATACATGTACTCCTCATATTATATCTAAAATAATTTTTCAAAATGTGCCTTTCCAACACTTACTAAGTTTAATGCCCATCTTTAATTACTCTTACTCTTGATGCCTTTGGCCCTATTCTCAAAGTGTAAGAATGTAGTCTGCTCATCGATTTATTTTAGCAGATGTCACAAACTATGAGATTATTTACTAATCCAGTTTGGGGACTTAACATTTCCCATTCAGTTTCTTAAAGGAATGCAGCAGAGGTTGTGTCCTGGTCAAGCAAAGCCCATTTGCTGCCTGGTTGGGTTCTCTCCCCTTAGTTCCTTGGGCCTATATTCAGGAGGGTAATATTCTTTCTAATCCCCTCTAATCCTTGCCCATTTTTTTAAAACACAGTAAAAGATCACTCACACCAGGCGGCTGTGGGAAAATGGACTCAAATAGCTGACCTCTGACATGACTCCTTATGTTCTTTGCAAGTGCATAAGAGCTTCTTCCATAGGAAGCAAAGAAAATATGGCAATCCCAGTGCAACTGCCATCATAAAAAGAATATTGAGTTTTCAGAAGAAAACTGCATAATACTTAAACCAGGCTCTTTCTATTAAAATTCTGTTTCATTTCACAGATAAGAGACAAAATATCCCAAATCATTTTCAATGAATTTTAGAACTCAGAAGCCTTAAACCCCAACATGCTAAGTATTTAGTATATTCGTAACCATTTAGCAAATGTAAGCAAAGATACTTAGTTAACAATTATTCAGTAAAACATATATTACAAAAAATATCAATTTGATGTGTCAAGAAAATACTTTTTAAAACAGCAACTATATACCTAAATTTTTAATATCTTTAATAATCATGTAAGTGATAATTCAGGTGGTAAATAAACACACATGCATACTTATTAGAAAATTATACTTCAAGATTTTACATTTTAAAATATTTGCTATTTAATCATTTTAAAAATCTTCCTTGGCCTGGCACGGTGGCTCACACCTGTAATCTCAGCACTTTGGGAGGCTGAGCAGGTGGATCACAAGGTCAGGAGTTCAAGACCAGCCTGGCCAAGATGGTGAAACCCTGTCTCTACTCAAAATATAAAACTTAGTTGGGCGTGGTGGTGGGTGCCTGTAATCCCAGTTACTCGGGAGGCTGAAGCAGAGAACTGCTTGAATCTGGGAAGCAGAGGTTGCAGTGAGCCGGGATTGCACCACTGCACTCCAACCTGGGTGACAGAGCAAGACTCCATTTCTCAAAAAAAAAAAAACAAGAAAAACACAAACTTCCTTATGCTAGCTTCTTTTTTATTGAAAATAATTATTTATTATTATTGGTGGTCCTACCCACGAGCAAATATCCTTTTCAATTTGACTTTAAAACAAAGTAATTTTTCAATTCCTGATTAGACACTGAAATGTGATCCCTAAAATATAAGACAAAAATTTCAATTTAAGGAAAATGTATATTAAGTAAATTATAAGATTATTATTTATTTTTTGGGAGGCCGAGGCGGGTAGATCACGAGGTCAGGAGATTGAGTCCAACCTGGACAACATGGTGAAACCCTGTCTCTATTAAAAATGCAAAAATATTAGCTGGGTGTGGTGGCACATGCCTGTAGTCCCAGCTACTCAGGAGGCTGAGGCAGGAGAATTGTTTGAACCCAGGAAACGGCGATTGCAGTGAGCCAAGATCATGCCACTGCACTATAGCCTGGGCTACAGTGAAAGACTCCATCTCAAAAAAAAAAAAAAAAGATTATTATTTATCTCCTTCCCAATCTGCTACTCAGGAATTTCCGCTACTCAGCATAGGCTGTAACTTATTACACTATAAAAACCATATCCTAAAAATTCTACTATGGTGCCTAGCATATTACACTAAAAGCAAGTACTAAAATACTTATTAACTGAGTTAATCTGATACACACAGCTGAAATGTCTTCAAATTCATACTTATATTTTAGCTTTTACCAAAAATATATTTTAGCTCTCTGGGAAAACTAAAACCAAACAAATATAAAAAGAAAAAACTCTACTACCCCGACTTTACTTCTCTAAGAAGAATATAAATGATTTTAAACTGACAGATGATTTTTTTGGACTTTTTTTTCTGCTTAGTAAAGTATATGCTCAGTGTACAAAAATAGAAATGTAACAGAGCTAAGTAGTAGAAAATATTATGTTTGGGGAATAAAAAAATAAAGAAACTAAAGACAGGGCATGGTGGCACATGCCTGTAGTCCCAGCTATTTAGGAGGCTAAGGCAGGAGGACAGCTAAACCTCAGGAGTTTGGGCTCCCTGCTGC